AGCTCTCCTGTAACTCGAATGTAACTTGTGACAAATACATAACTTAAGCAAGAGACTGCAATAATGCATTTTATATACACTCAAATCTCCGACTAATATATATATATATTTGTACTAACTACCTAATCGGTGCGTAGCAACAGACTAGAGCACACACTAGGCAAGAAAATTGATAAGCTAAAGTAAACATTCTATTATAAATGATAAGTACTTACATACCCCCTATATACATATATATATATATATATTGTAGCGACAACTTTGCCTAGTTTTGCCCACTTTTTATTTCATTTTCTAGCCAAATGCTTTTTACCAGCACCCTTTCCTTTACTCGCTCGATCCATGGCCTATTTATAGATTTACGTACACTCTCCAGCTGTATTAATAAATGGGAAATAAATCTCTTCGACGGCTTTTGTTCAACTTAATTGTTTACATAAACAAGCATTTCTTCAGAATTTGAGTCGCATTATCTTTTCGTATGCGTCATGAATGTGTATTATGTGTGACAAAGGGTATCATAATCCGTTCAATATGCAAGTGACGCAGAGGAAGTCAAGTTTTTAACAATTGCGCACTCGAGTCAACTATGCGTGATAAGGCTTAAGACCCGAAGGCCTAAGACAACAGCGTGCAGACCGAAGATTGTATACCCTATTTTCTATATGTCCCATAGGGTATACATTTTATTTTTCTTCAATAGGCTATACAAGCTTCGGCCTGCTGATTCTTCTCGAAAGCCTCCGGGCTTGAAATTTTCAAGCGAGTCGATTTGTCTGAGCGTCGAGCTAACAGGCGAGAAGTCGCCGGCTCAAATTCAGCAAAAAAAACTTGATTTATAAGTGTTTTAAAAGTTTACCTCAAAAAAATACATGTTATATATGCTTGATTCCTGCTTTACGACTTATATAGATATATTCATATGAACAAAGGGAATTCGTTTTATGACATAATCGTAATACCCTTACGGTAGGGTATAAAGTAAAAAATCTGATTTCAATTTATGATAGTTTGAATTGGTTTCGAATAGAGATTGATTCGATTTGTGTTTGTGCTAGTTGGAAATGTTTATTATGCATAAATATTGTGCTTATATATGGTACTATATTTAAACATGTCTATTAGTATTTGCTTTAATATAGTATAAATATCAGTTAGTGACTAAATGCAACAGCTACATAAATGTGTATTTGGTTTTGTAGAGTGTTCCAAGTGCTGCTCCTCTAAAGACAACTGGAAGGGAGAGAGGGAGAATTCATACACAAGCGTATTGAATGTGCGTAGTCAAATTCGGGTTATATTTAAAGGGTATTCATTCAGTCGGCCGACTTGCGCTGCAGCTGATTCTTTTCGGGCTCGTAGAACTCATTGACAAGCGCCTCTTCCATGTCTTGGAGCGTTTGGGTGAGCTGGTCCCAGCCCTTGTCGGCCGGCTTGCCGCACATCTCGGCATAGTATTTCATTTTGGGCTCCGTGCCGCTGGTGCGCAGCGTGATAACCACACCGTTCTTGAACGTAAACGTTATCATCTGGGAGCTGGAGCTGACCGGCAGGATGGCCCTCTTGTCCGCCGCGCTGCTGTCATAGCCCGTGGTCAGATCGCGCACGTGCTCGATTTCGTATTTGCCATTGAGTATGCTCCGCGGATAGGTGTTCGCCTGGCCATTGTTGAATGTGCGCAGCCGGTTGAAGATCTGTTGGATCATTAGCTGGTCGGAGCAGGTGACATAGGAGCAGATGCTCGTGTGGTAGCCGTAGATCTTGTATATCTCCGTCAATTTCTGTTGCAGTGTCATGCCCTTCTCGTGGTGCAAATAACGTGCCATTGTAGCGACATGGGCCGCAGCGCTGACGCCATCCTTGTCGGGCACATTTGTGGAGATCATAAAGCCGATGGCCTCCTCGAAGGCAAACAGCACCGTCATGCCGGCCAGCTCCTTCTCGATGGCCTTGTTGGCCATCCACTTGAAGCCCGTCAGAGTTTCGCAGAAGATGAAACCGTCATTGGCCGCCATTGATTTCAATATCTTCGAGCTGACCGTGCTGGCGATCATCACGCACTTGGACAAATCTGCATTTGGATGGCGCATCTTATGCATCTCTAGTGCCCACCAGCCGAGCAATGCGCCCAGCTCATTGCCGTTGAATAGCTTGTACTTCTTATTGCTGGTATCAAATTCGGCAACTGCCAAACGATCGGCATCCGGATCGTTGGCCAATATGATATTACATTTCTGGTCCGTTGCTGTTTTAATGGCCAGATCCAGGGATGTCTTGCCCTCCTCTGGATTGGGCATGGGCGTAGTTGGGAATTCCGGATCGGGCTCAACCTGCTGAACAACAGGCACAACTGGCCGCATATTAACCTGCTCAAAGGCCTTCGACACATACGTATAGCCAATGCCATGCATGGCCGTGTACGCAAAGCTCAAATCACACGTCGCATTGGCTTTTAAAAGTGAGTCCGGAATTGTCTTTAGCAAAGCATCGTAATAGGCAGGCTCGACCTGTTCGTAAGGATCGCTGAGCAGCGCGTTGGACCACAAGGTTGCCTCATCGATTGCCCAATAATTCTCCGCTGGTTCCAGATTTTTAAGTATGGCCTTGTGTATGCCCGAATCGTGCGGGGAAATAATCTGGGCGCCGTTCGTCCAATAAACCTGCAAATAATCTATGTATAAGCCTACACAGGACTCGAATTGAGTGCAGTTTCCATACCTTGTAGCCGTTGTCCTTCTTGGGATTGTGCGATGCAGTCACCTGCACGCCAGCCAAACAGTTCAGCTTCTTGATGGCGAATGGCACAAAGGGCGTGGCCGCATAACGCTTAAATAGATAAACGCGAAAGTTGTTCTTCAAGAAGACAAGGGCCGACAATTCGGCAAAGCGCTTGCTATTATGTCGCGCATCGTAGCCAAAGACAATGCCACGTTCCGACCAGGACGACTTGTCCGTATACTGCTCCTTTAGATAAGCACAGAGTCCTTGGGCGGTTCTGGGTAAAACGAAATAATAAATCACTTGTAATCGGAGATTTTCTCTACAATGGAAACTCACTGCACAACAACCAAATCGTTCATGGAATCGAAACCCGCTCGCATTTCAGCACGTAGCCCGGCCGTGCCGAATGCAATCCGTTTGAGGAGACGCAACTTGAGCCTGTTGAAAGATTGCACTTGGATTAGATGTTTATATTGAGCATATTCATTACGTACGTGCCCCAATCTTTGGCCTCGATCAGCTTTAAAATTTCTTTCTTCGTTTTTGGATTTCGATCCCATTTTACCCACTTCTCTATGAGATCATCCAATTCCGCATCGCCTGAGAGCGTCATGTTTTTAAGTTCATTTAAATCTTGGGCCATTGGGAGCTATGTTGAAAAATCTAGAAAAATATTTAAAACAACTCGAGGAGTATTAAAATTGTTGTTCATTATTATAAGAGCATATTCCTTAAAACAACTAGCAAACTTTTTAAAGAGAACTTCCTCAACTTATCCAATGCTCGAACCAGGATTCCCCTCACTAGTTCACTTAGACAACTCGTCTATCTAGGACATGCACCCGATTTTATTCCAGTTTTTTTTTAGAACGTTACAAATAAGTACAAAATTCCTTCGGGACACCACAAGACACAGCAAGGACGTTCATTTAGCAACGTTAAAAGAAAAAACATAATTCTTTAACCACACACACACACATGCACGCACACGCACACATATTAAAGAAGAGATGAGTAATTGCAGCCGTGGTCCGATCTTTTTCTCTCTTAATTGATGGCAACAGCAGCTGTTAACGACACACACCCCTATCTAGAGTGACAAATCACATTGAATGTACGCACATATGCTTGCACGTATTTATTTATGAATTGCGGCTTATCTCACCCGGTAGTTGGTTTTTTAATGAAGATCCCGCACGAAGCCTCGAACTTGCTAGGGAACACCAACAAATCGCACTAATGAGACCGTGAGTTGCAAACTAGCAATTAACCAAAATCGTAAAAAGTACAAATTAATCCCGAAAATACCAACTGGATATTAAAAAAATACCATCTTAACTAAAAGTCGCAAAGCAAACGTTTATTTTTAAATTTGCAAAAGATATATATTTTTTGGCACAATTTATATTTTTTTGTTTGATTTTATATTTTTTTGTGTGAACTTTTAAAACTACTTTTGGTTTTTAAACTATTAGTTAAATACCAATTAAGATCTAGTTCAGTTCACTGAACCGCTGTATTTAGTTCATTGAAGTTTTGCCATAGAACGCCGAAGAAAAAAAAAACACAACTACAACACGCGGAGAAAACAGCTTAAAATATTTAAGAAAAATATCAATAAATTCGTAATTGTTACTCAAAAAGGAGGGAAAATGGCTGATGTGCTAGATATCGACAATGCCGAAGAGTTTGAAGTGGACGAGGATGGCGACCGTAAGTATTTGCCCAGCCGGCTAATAATGCTGCTCTAATAACTCACACCCACACACTCACACACACGCACACACATAGAGGGCATTGTGCGCTTGAAGGAAAAGGCCAAGCACCGCAAGGGACGCGGTTTTGGTAGCGACAGCAACACACGCGAGGCAATACACAGTTATGAGAGGGTGCGAAATGAGGATGACGACGAACTGGAGCCAGGGCCGCAGCGTTCGGTCGAGGGCTGGATATTGTTTGTCACCTCGATACACGAGGAGGCGCAGGAGGATGAAATTCAGGAGAAGTTTTGCGATTATGGCGAGATCAAAAACATTCACTTGAACCTGGATCGGCGCACTGGCTTCTCCAAGGGCTACGCACTGGTCGAGTATGAGACGCATAAGCAGGCGCTTGCCGCCAAGGAGGCGCTCCATGGCGCCGATATAATGGGCCAAACGATTCAAGTGGACTGGTGCTTCGTGAAGGGACCGAAGCGCGTCAAGAAATCGGAAAAGCGTCGCAGATAGGCAATTGGAATATATATATCGTAACTCATAAACTAGCATAAAACCAACGAATACAAATGGAAAATAAATTTTATTGCAGTGGCAATGCGAAAAGCGGGTTTGTCCGCGGCTACTTCATCTTCTTCTGGTGCAGCAAGTGCTTGCGCATGGCCAGCTGCTTGTCGCGGAAACTCTTCTTGACCTTGGAGCGCGCCTTTTGCCGCAGCATGCCAAAGTTTTTCGTCTTGCGCTTCTCTCGATTCGTCTTGGAGCAGTTCTCATTGACACGCCCGTCCTTCCAGCCGAAACGCTCGCGATCCTGACGACCCGCCTGCACCGTCTCCAGGCGCGACTCCTTGTCGTGCTTGCGCTTCTTGTAGATCATCTCAATGCTGTTCAGCTTGACGAACTCGGCGCGATCCTGCTCCAAAGGCCGCTTGCGGGCACTTGTTACCGTCTTCTTCAGATTGGCGGCATTGATGCGCTTGAAGTCCTCGTCCGTGAAGATGCGCGTCAGCGCCAATTCCTGCGCAGCTTCCTTTTGGTTGAGCAACTTTATGTTTGCCTTCTCCTTTTTGTCCGCCTTGGGCGACGTTTCGTCGCCCTCGCTTGCAACGCCCTCATCAGACTCCTCTGCATCGACGTCCTCCTCCGCGTCGTTGTCGTCGTCATCATCCACTTCGTCCTCATCAGTGTCACTGCCCTCCTCCTCCTCCTCATCATCATCGTCGCCACTTTGCGCTGGACCCTCGCCATCGCTGTGCGCCACGTTCACCCACTCGCCATCATTGGAGTCCGTGTCATCGTCATCGCTGCCTATGTCTATGGTCTTAGAATTCTTGAGCAGAGCCTCGGCACCAAGCACCGTGTCCTGGACATCGCGTTCGCCATAGGCGCGCACCTTGCGCTCCGCCTGCGCCTCTGTCTGGCGACCGCGATCCTTTTTGTGGAGCAGCTTTGGCAGCTGTTCGCGATAGAGCGTGATTAGTGAGCGCGCGGCCATCATCACAGACTTCTCCTTGTACGTCTTGTACATGGCCAGATCCTGCAGCAGATCCTCGCCCATGGCCAGCGGACAGCGCATGCATATTTCGCGCGTGGCATTCAAGCCAATGGCCATGACATCGCTCGAATTGCGTTCCGTGATGAAATTATTTGCAATAGTCTTCAGTATGGGCTCGATGATGTCGCCGGGCACCAGCTCGTGTGATGCCTGCGCCGCGAACTGCAGCACTCGCGTCACCTGGCGCTGATGCGGCTGCATGAAGCGCGTGATATATGGATAAAAGCCGAAGAGGAACAGCTCGTGTATGCCAATCAGACGGGAGATGACGTCCAGATGCATTAACTTGACCTCGAAGCGCTCGTTGCTTGACTGCAGCTGCTTGAACAGACCCTCGGCCATGCCCTGCGGATTGTGGATCAGGTGTATGGCCGAGAAATTGAATGCGGGCGCGTTCTTCTTTTTCTTTTGGGCCTTCACGGCCTGCTTCTTGATCTGTTGCAGCTGCTTCTGGCGCTTCTTGGTCTTCTTGTTGACACGATTCGCCATGAGCGCGCCCTTCAGGTCCACCTCGGGCTCGCTGTCCGAATCGGTGGCAGCTTCATCCTCATCGTCGTGGCCCAGAAAGAATTTCAGCGATGTGACCAGCACCTAAAATGGCATTGTTTATGGATTACAGAGAAACAGGCTTGAGTTTGCCGCAAACCTTGGTGATGGGCGAGAAGCAGCCGACGCTGGCGATGACATTAACCGACTTGGCATCGTTCCAGATGTTCTTCTTGTAGAGCTCGATCATAATGTCGGCCGACATTTTGGCAGCTTTTGGATTGGCATCCTTTAGCATGCCGTACATGAAATTTTGCAGGCTCTGTAAGGGTAATTTTTAGTGATAAAATGTGGAGCAAGTGCAGCAACAGGTCGCCTTACCGAATTGAGCTTCATGTCCTTGTGCTTGGCATTCATGTTCTTGATGTCGTTGACAATGTGCGTCTGCAAGAACGTGCGCAGATTCTTGTCCTGGCAGCGCAGCAGCTGGAAGAACAGCTCCAGTATGTCCAAGGCGGGCACAAGATTTTTATTGCGCAGCAGTATTAACGCCTTGACGAAACAATTTCGCATTGCCGGATCCAGGACGGTGGCGCTGCTTCTCAGCAGATCGGTCAGGTGCTTGGGAAACTGCTGGCTCACGTGCGGATAGCACTGTGCCACCTGGGCAATAAACATTATGATCTCGTCGAGCGATTTGTTTTCCTCGCCCGGATTTAGGGCGAAGATCTCGAGCAGACTAAGGAAATGCTCGTATTGTGTGTGAAACTCATCGCTGTAGGATTCTGGATCACGTTTGATGAGATTTTGCAACTGCGGAAGATTATCCGGCAGTTGATTGTTGGGTCGCACCATAGTAAGACGTAAATTTAACGTCTTGAAAGCACGTTCAACAATTAATAAAAGAATGCACGTGTCTTCTTCTTCTTACTGCATGAACAGTGCTGCCACCCTGTTCCGTTTGAGGCGTTTCCACTTGAAAAACATTGTGCAAGCAGCTGATTGAATGTTAAGTCAATAATTTCATATTTAATTTGCATATATGATAATGTCTAGAGAGAGTTATTTAAATTCAAACATTGCGACACATATATAATTTGTTGTTTTCGATAAAAGCTTCAAGACGCGGCTGCAGGGACAACGTTTTCCAACACAGCAGAAACTGTAGTAAGAACGAAAAATAAAAGAGTTTAAAGAGTCTAAAACTGATTTAAAGCACGCAAATGCTTATCTCGATAATAGAAAAAGAAAGGGCACATACTATTACAAAAGTTTGGTTTTATTTCAAAAATGATAACATGCTCTGTTATCGGAACCAGTGAAAACAGCTCGTCTTTTGCTATCGTTTTCCAACACCGTTGCCGCAGTAGAATTAATTTTTTTCTGCAAGATGATGGACCTGCAGTCCAACGACGACATCGATTTAGAGGATGGAGAGGTAAATAAGTTCACCAAATAGCTAACCAACAGATAGTCAATAATGCGTACCGCACTTCAGTTGTCAGCTAGCGGCGACGACGAAATCTATACGCCGCTGCAGCGACCGGCACCGGCGCCCACAAACGCACCTGCTGCTGCTGCTGCTGCCGCTGCAATGGGCGCCGCGGAGAGCGTTGCAAGTCCGCTTGCCACATGCCACCAGATACAAAGTGCCCTCGATGATGAGTCGCAGTCGAACAGCGAATCCACATCGGGTGAATCCTCTGAGGAGGGCTGCATCAAGAAGCTGCGCACCGACTCTCTCTCGTCGGGCAAAAAGCGTAAAAAGTGCATCAGACGCACGGTCATGGTACGTGTGCCGCCGCCGCCGGAGACCACGGACGCTGAGCCAAATCGGGCGCGTTTCAAGAAATACAACATCTGGACGGCGGCCCTGCAGGAGGAGGCACTCAGCGAGAATATGCGCGGCTGCGATGTCACGCGCAACAGCAGCGATCGCAATGTTGAGAACTATGATTTCTCGCTGAGATACCGGCTCAATGGGGAGAACAACCTGAAGCGTCGTCTGTCCAATTCCTCGGATGAGGGCAGCTCACATCCAGCCCATAAGAGGGGACGTCAGTCCGCACGTCCCGACATGGAGGGTCAGCGCGAGCGGCATCCTGTAAAAAACCGTCTGGGCCAGCGCTCACGGTCGCGACGTGGACATTCGTCCACGAGCGGCTCGTCGGACAACTCGAGCGAGCCGCGGCATATACTCGATCTGAACGATACGTCCGGGCGCGATCCGAGCGATGTGGCCAGGGAAATGGCCAACAAGCTCTACGAGGAGAAGGACGAACTCTTAGGTGGGCGACCAGAACTGGCCACAAAGATCGTATCCTAATTTAAGAATTATGTTTTGCAGTGCGCGTTATCCAGGTGCTTGGCATAGATGTGCCGCTCGAGCTCTACAAAGAAACCCAGCGCATCGAAGCCGACGGCGGCATGATGATCAACGTGAGTTAATCCCCCAATCCAATCTAAACTAATAAATGATATTCATATTTTTCTTTTAGAATGGCAGACGTCGACGTACTCCGGGTGGCGTATTTCTGTTTCTGCTCAAGCATCATGATAAAATAACGCCAGCGCAGCAAAAGTCAATTTTTAGCGAGGATCGCCAAAATGCGAACAAATCTCGCAAGCAGATCGAAACGTTAATACGCGATCGCAAGGTCGAGGAGTTGAAGAAACGTTTGAGCGAAAAGAGCACCGAAATGCCTTCATTAAATACGCGCAAGGAACTCTATATGCAAGGCGCTGAGTCAATTGCCCAGACTCTGCCTGGCAATTGTATGTACAAAATATGCATATGATGAAATTAGAGAAATTCATTTTAAAACTTCATTTTTTCTCATAGTATCCAATCCGCCACCGTCGCCTGTTGGCCAGGAACAGAGCAGTCCAGAGTATAAAACACACGAGATAAACATCAATGTCGTGGACAATGCCGATCTGCCCTCGACTTCGAAAGCTGCCTCGGCAGCGGGCCTTAAGGAGTTGATCAGCTATGATGATGATATTCTGGATGTTAGTTGCGGCAAAATGGATCTATTTTAAACGAGAAAGGAACGCATAGCGTTATCAAGCAGTTGGCCATTTGTATGTATATATTGAATAATATATATATATATGTATGTGTGTGTGGCGCGTAAATTTTACATCTATATAGTTAGAAACATATTTGTACATCTAAATAAATGCATAGCTATTACGGTTTTTTTGTAAGCGTACAATGTCGGCAGTTTAAAATTGGCGCCCAAACTGACCATTGGTCATCGATGTAAATGTTATCGATACTTTCGTGAAGTGCACAACGCAGCTATCGAAACACGACGAATCGTTATCGGAGCAATAGGCATAGACGAGCAGATGATTTCCAAATTTCTAAATTTAATTGTTGCAACGTAGCAAAAGGTAAATATCGCAACTATAAATAAATGTATAAATATAGAAAGGGCCTATATGCTAATTTGAGCGTGTAAACAACAAGAATGACAACAACCTGTGCATGTGAGTCGAGTGTTGAGCAAAACAAAACGCAGCTCGTTGAAATTGCGGCCGAGTCGTACGCATACGAGCTGCTCGAGGATGTGCACCTGGCACTGCCACCGCCCGACAACAGGACAGGTGAGAGCTTTTATACGCGCGGCCACTTCAAGTATTTCCACTACGGCTGCGATGGCCACTCGGACGCGGGCTGGGGCTGCGGCTATCGCACTTTGCAAACGGCCATTTCTTGGATCATGAACAGGCGCAACGAAGCGAAGCGGAACGTGCCCTCGATACGGGAGATTCAACGCATGCTGGTCAGCATTGGGGACAAGCCGGCCAGTTTTGTTGGCTCACGCGATTGGATTGGCACAATGGAGGAGTTTTATGTGATTGATGCCATGTTTGAGATACCCTGTAAATTTGTGCACGTGCAGCAATTGAACAGCGAGCAGCTCTTCACCCAAATACGTGCTTATTTTGAGGATTATGGAGGTCTTATAGTCATGGGTGGATTAAGCGACATGGCCTCCAAGGCCATTGCGGGCATACATCTCAGCCCATTGGCGGGCGTCTCGCTGCTGATTGTGGTGAGTTTCGGAAATTGACCTTAGCTTGATCTGAGCGACAGCTAACATTTACTCATCTGACCCCATAGGATCCGCACTTTTCGGGCGTGCCCAGCTCCAAGCAGCAGCTAATTGACAAGGGCTACGTGCGCTGGATGCACATAACGGAGTTCGAAAAGAGCGCGTACAATCTCTGCTTTATACTGCAAAAATGAGCTAAAAGAGGTTGTGAAGGGCAACAGCAACAGTGCTGCCAATTTAACTAGAGTGGCCAGAGCAATAAAATATGAATGTACACAACTCTACACGAGCTTGCAGTGTTGTCAACTCAGCTTTTCTTTATAGGTAGCCGGAGACAGTTAAAATGTTAAATAGATTTTGCCTATATTTTCATTCGATACCTTTGCTTTCTAAATATGGTAAACGGAAAACAAATATATATTCGTTAAAGCTCTCGCTCAGCTACAAATTCAGCGGAAATATTGCTAAAATGTCAGCACTAATCGAATTATCTACGCAGAGAGTATTTACAGTTATGTTTTCTCTTCTCTTTTAGCGCGCGTTATGGCCAGGAATCGAGTCGATTGATAAGCGCATATTTAACAGTTATTCCATGACGATGGCGCTGATAAGCCAGCGACACTGAACGTTTACAAATTAATTAACCAAACGACGGTAAAAAGCCTAAAAACGAACAAACCGCAAACGTAAAGCGGATCGAAAAAAATTGGAGCAGCTGCTGCCCTGCCCCCCGGCCTGGATATGCTGCAGCGTGTACTGTGGAGCGCCCTGGGCGCCGTGGCGCTCTTCTATGCCCTGGTCCGCTTCAGCCTGGGCTATTGGAAGCGGCGGGGCATACTGCACGCCAAGCCCAAGTTTCTGTGGGGCAACCTGAAAGATGTGCTGGGCGGCAAGCGGCATGTGCAACAGGTGCTGCAGTGCATCTACGAGAGCTACAAGGGACGTGCACCCTTCATTGGCTGCTATGCGCTGATCAAACCGTTTGTCCTGGTGCTGGATCTGGAGCTGGTGCGTCATATACTGGACAGCGATGCGGGCTACTTCACCAGCCGTGGTCTCTATCACAACGTGTCCGCCGAGCCGTTGTCCGGCAATCTGCTGCAGCTGGACGGGCACAGCTGGCGCTGGCTGCACGCCCAAACCCGCACGGTCTTCACGGCGAGCAATCTGCAAAAGCTGTTGCCGCGGCTGCTGCAAGTCAGCAACAGGCTGCAACGCGGCCTGGGCGAGGCACATCTCCAGCAGCTGAACGTGAGCCAATTGGTGGATAGCTACAACGTGCAGGCAATTGCCACGCTCGCCTACGGCCTGAATCCCGGCGAGCTGCCGCCGGACTTTGGCCAGATGACGCGCAGCTATTGGAGCAACTGGAGTCTGTGGCGCGCCTATTTGGCGCTTGAGCTGCCGCTCTTGGCGCGTCTGCTGCGGCACAAAAGCTACGCACAGCTGGCCACGGACTACTTCTTCAAGCTTGTGCTGGAGCAACTGCAGCAGCAGCGCCGAAGGGATCGACAGCCGCTGCAGAGCTTTCTGCAATTGTACTCCGCCACGGAAGAGAACTTGACAGATGCACAGATTGCCGCACAGGCATTTGGCTTTGTGCTGGCCGGGCTGGAGCCGCTGAACGCCAGCCTAGCCTTCTGCCTCTATGAACTGGCGCTGCAGCCGGAGCTGCAGCAGCGCGTCCGTGCAGAGATTAGGGCAACGCTGCAGCGGCACGAGGGAGCACTAACTTCGGAGGGCCTGCAGCAGCTGACCTACACGAAGCAGGTGCTGAATGGTGCGTATATGCAGGAGACTCCCATCTGGGGCCAACTCATCAGCTTAATCCCAATTTACAGAAACGCTTCGCCTGCACACGCCTTATCCGTTTCTGCTGCGCCGCGCCACCCGGGAATTCGAGCTGCCCAAATCCGTGTTTGTCATAGCCCGTGGCAACAATGTGCTTATACCCATCGCAGCTATACACCGTGATCCGGCCATCTATCCGGAACCCGAACGCTTCGATCCGGATCGCTTTGAGGCGGCGGCAGTGCATGCACGCAAGTCTATATCGTTTCTGCCCTTTGGCGAGGGATTGCGCGGTTGCATGGCCAAGCAGCTGGCCCAGCAGCAGCTCCTGGTCGGCCTGGTCGCTCTGCTGCAGCAACACAGCTATGCGCCCTGTGCGGAGACCCAGATACCCATCCAATATGACAATCGCAAATTGTTGCTAATGCCCAAAACGGATATCAAACTGAGCGTGGAGCGGTTGGATAGCTAAGAGGCAGACGGGGCAGAGTTTCGGCTTCGCTTTATAATTATAGTTAGTTGCTTTTGTGTGTAAAAAACGCTTTATTTGTTTTTTTTTTATATATTTTTGTATTTGCGCTAGACTTGTGTGATAATGCTGACGTATACCTTAAATGATTAGATGTAAGCTTGTTTGATTGACCTGCAACAGTAACATAAGAATGAACAAATAAATACCTTAATTGTTGTCAAGTAATAATATAGAGTGTAAAAGTGTAATTAAGTTATTTAATTTGTTTATTTCTAGTTTTAAATTTAACCACCACTCGACGCAGTCACGTGAAGTTGGCTGCGCACGCAAATTTGAGCTGATAGCAATCGATGTATCGTATCAAATGTGTGCACATTTTGCGCTGTGCAACACTGCAATGTCAATCGGCAGACAGAAGCAAAAACAACGCCGAGCGAGTCAGACGTGCGGCAAACGGTGCGCGCAATTTAAAGTGTAATTTGTTAAATAATTAAAAGCTATTTGATAACATAATGCACGAATATGTCGCCACTCGTGCGCGTGAATAAAACAGCGTTTGTGTAAACGAATTGGATTGATTGGGCGTTTCGGTAAATGCACTTCCAGCAGCTCGGGCTGCTGCTTTTTTTTTTTTATTTCTACGCGAAGTGTGCATCCAATTGAATTAAATAACGAAAATGCAAAGCGTAACTGACAGGAGCAGCATTGAAATCGAAACGGCGGCAGGCTAAATTGAAAGTACGCAAAAAAAATAACTGTTAAACGGCGGCGGCAACGGCACTTTACTGTTGTTTGCTTAGGAAAGCAGAAAACAGTGCAAAAATAGCAAAAGAGGAAAGGAAGAATATAGTAAAAAAAAAACGCCGAAAAGTGTGTACATATTTAAATTTTTAGTGAATAATTTTATGCAACACGCATGCACACGTCTGTCTGTTGTGTGTGTGTGTGCTTGTCTGTGATTGTGTTTGTGCGCGTTTGTGTACAACAAGAATAACAACAAAAACTGTGCAAGGATCAACGACAACGACAACGCCGCCGTCAGGGTAGTTTGTTTGAACAAAGCCCAAAGCCCAACGTGGAGACGGGTGGAGAGAGACGTGTGCTCTCTTCTCTTTTGTGCGCTTTTGCCGCCTGGAATGTGCTGCAGCCCAACAAACAAAAACAACTGCAAGAGTAATTGCAGGAACAACAACGACAGCGGGCGACCGTAACGAGCACACACTCGCAGTTACACACACACACTCAGACCGGGTGCCGGCTAAAAGGGGGAGGAAACGCTGTTTGATTGTTTGCAGGATTCTTTTGAAGCGCCCGCTGCTGCTGCTGCAGCTGGAAGTTGACTGCATTTGGGCAAATAGATTCAAGAACCGTGAGTATCCTTCAAATGTCCTGCTTCTTACACTTGCTTTTGTTCTTGCCGCGTTTCTCACACTCCTTGATTCGCCCTCCCTCTCACGGTCCCTCTCACGTTCAAGTGTGCTAATTATGAAAATGTAATTAGTTTAAGTGTTGTACAATAACACAAAAGCTGACAGACAACAGCTTCCAGCTTCAAACAAGCACAGATTCCAAGGTCTTCCAGTGCCAATTCCAGTCAGCGCAAGTAATGAAAACTCCTTTCATTGCCAGCCAACAACAACAGTAACAACAGCAACAGCAACAACAACAGCAACATTAACAGAAACAACAAGAACCGTAATTTTGTGCTCCCTTTTTGAAGTTGTCGCGCTATTTGCGCAAGTGCAGGCACTCGCCATCAGATGTGCGCGCGTGCCGTGACACGAATTCATCGTGCGTGCACGTACACATGACAGCATCAATTTATGGCTGATAAAAATTGTACTTAACATAATTACCAAATTATTATAAGTGAATGTTCACTTTTTTATAGGTGCACGAAATTTAACAAGTTTAGTTTAATGCTGCATACTTTGCATATTTGTCAATTGCCGCCGCGCACAATTTGGCCCTGGCTCATCTCTAATGCTGCTCTTCCTGCTCCGCCCGCTGCAGCTATTGCTGTTTGTTGTGCTTATTTTGCACCGTTTTGCATCATTTTTAGCACAAACATTTTGCATTATGTGTGGGCTACTTATTAACTTTTGTTGTTGTTGCTTTCTTTTTTGTTTTGTTCTGATTTTATCGCTGGGAAGCAACAACAACAATGTTGGGGGAATAATCATAACGCGTTGGCGCTCCCCCTCCACATCCAGCATCCGGCGGGGGGTTCATTGACTTTGTTTAGCTATTATATTCGTATCCAAATCCAATCAGTTTTTCTAGGCTGCCATTTTTTGTTGAGTTTTTTTTTGGTTGTTCACCTTTTTTGGGGGTTAAAGCATTATATGAAATATGGGGTTGGTTTTGTTGTTGTTATTCTTTATTCTCCAACTGGTTTTCATGATGTCTCCATTTTGCAGTGTGCCGTAATCAGAGCAGGAACCGGAGCAGCACGTTGACACCAGTCGACGCAAATGTCTAACTGTAAATGTTGTTTAATTCAAATTTCAGTTTGTTATGATTACAGTTGTTGTTGTTGTTGTTGTTGTTGTTGTGGCGTTGCCTTATCGCACGTTTATTTGAAATTTCATGAGGCCTTTGTGGGCATGGCCCGCCAGTCAATGCATTTGCCTTTTGCATACCTTTCAAACGACTTTGATACGAGCTGCGACTGATAAGGAGAGCCCATACAGAGAACTCTCATTAACATGCCAATTGTACAGTGAAAGCTCGCCTAACGAACAGACTCCAGCCAGATCTATATTTTTACTGTATTTACTGTGCTCACTAAAGTAGATTTATTTAAACAAATGTTATAGACAAATGCCAAAAGCGGGAATGCTTGCAATTGTACACACAGTTTGCTTATTTGTTTATTTCTAGAAATTCTATCATAAACTTGCACTATTTCGTATCTCTCTAAGTTTCATGTTCCGTTAGAATGCAATACCTTCTAGAGTTTTTTTCCTTTTTTTTTGTAATCATCTGATATGCTTGGAATTTCTTCTGCTAGGGTATATGCTTACACACACATGTGTGTGTGCGTGTGTGTGTTTGTATCTGCACTTGGCACATTTTCTTTGTGCCTATCTGATGCCTCTTGCCTGCAACTGGCAAATATGTAACCTAATCCCAAAAAGCAAAAAAAAAAAAACCATTCAACTGCTGCTGCACCTGTGCAGAGAGAGAGAGAGAGAGAGAGAGCTGGGGGCAGGGGGCCAGGTGGGCGGGGCTGTTGAGCCACCAACAGCTGGCGGCAACGAAATAACTTGGTTTTTTGGCTGCTTTTCAGCTGCTTTTTAGCTGCTTTTCTGGCTTTCTTTTCACGTAGCATGTTTATGGCTGTTTCAACAAGCTAACAAAACTGCATCCAAATACACGAGAGTACATACAAGAAAAGGAACATATATTTATTTAACTCTATAGCTGGATAAGCTTGCGTTGTTATTCTGACCAGCCAAACAATTGCAGCAGCAGCAACAACAACAACAACAACTATGTAAACTTGTGTGCAACTTTTTTTGCTTTGAGCCATGTAATTGTTAATTATGCTTTTGGGCAATAGAAGACAGAAGACGGCGTCTAACTATAAAACAAGTAAGAGCACAATTTGATACGCTTGGCCGGCGTTTAAATACCCTAACAGCAAAGGTCTAACTATAAAAATGACCAAGCTTTTATGAGATGCTGTCGGATGCCGATAGAATTTGTTTCTGTTTATGTTTATGTTTGTCGATTTCGGTTAGCTATTGGCAGACCTATAATATGGGATATTAAATCGACTTATGAAGCTAGTTTGAAACAGTGAAAATTGTTTTGCAGAAAGAAAAAAGGAAAAACAGACAGATGGACATGTCTAGCTGGCACTAGATCCCAGAATATATATATATATATATATAATTTAAAGGTTCCTCTGTGGGTTACATATTGGATGACAAAATGCTAATGCCCTTTGCTAGGGCATATAATATCTACACATAATGTTCGATAGTCTGGCCGAGCCTGTTTGGTGTTTGCATACGCCAACGCATCGTTGTGCTTGTTGTTGTTGTTGTTGTTTTAGTTGTTGTTGTTGCTTTAGTTGTTGTTGTTGGCAAACAGCTGGGGCAACTGCTGGGAACGTTTCCAAGAGGCAGACACACTCTTGAAAGTTATAAACTGGCCTCTTTGAGCCAAGAGTGACTGCATGAATGAATGCATTTGTTTTGCATCTTGAACCCGCCGTTTTTCTTCTTCTTCTTCTTGTTGTTGTTGTTGTTTCTGCTGTCTGACACCCACGCGGCCAAACATTTTCGATTTCGATTTCATTTTGTTCGCCTGGGTGTTGATTTGAGTGCATGAATGAATATCCATGAGCATATATACTACACACATATTAAAGGAGAGGCGTAAAGCCATATATCTTTCTTATATATGTATATATTATGCCTTGCCCACGCGGCAGCAGCTGCTGCTGTTTTTTGGTGTCTCTTTTGTTAACTTGGCTAATCGCCTGACCCACACACTTTTGGGCCAATCAACAGCTCAAAAGTTCACTAAAAAAGCGTTTCCATTTTGTTTTTTGTCGCATGTCAAAAGTTGAGAGAGCGCGTACTCTAATGGATTTTCAGCGAGTTCTGACCAGCTAAAAAAGGTCGGTCTTCATTTAAAAATGAATAAACTTTGCATCTGCACCGAACCGGGGTCTGCTCGTTTAACCGAGTCACATTTTTTGATACCCTGAACCCATTGAAAATGGGTAAAAAGGGTATATTTTATTTGTGCAAAATCCAAATGTATGTAACAGGCCGAAGGAAGCATCTCCGACCCCATAAAGTATATATATTCTTGATCAGCTTCAATAGCCGAGTCGATCTAGCCATGTCCGTCTGTCTGTCCGTCCGTCCGTGCGTATGTATGAACGCAAGGATCTGAGAACCTATAAGAGCTAGAGACTTGAAATTTTAGATGTAGGTGCTTCTAGTGCCTGCGCAGATCGAGTTTGTTTCCGATAATCGATAACTTGCCCCGTTTCCAAGTAATCGATAAAATTCGATATCGATATCCTGTTTTTTTGGGCAATTTTGGTAAATAATAAGAGCTAGAGTCACCAAACTTGACATATAGCTTCTAGAATAGTATATATATATATGCATTTGATGTTGGAAGAAGAGGGTTCCCCTAGTCGGGAGCTCCCGACTAGAACCTCTTACTTGTTATTCATGGTTTTGCCTCTAGAAAAATTTGGCATTTAAATCTGGCAACATCATTTTTGGTCCAATCTCATGTAAAATTCTAACCTCCACAATCCTATATAGACATGGGTTCAAATTTCCCACATCCGTAACTCGGTCAAAAATTTACCGATTTTCATGGGGCTTGGCTTTTTATTCATGGGTTTCCCTCTAGATTAATCTGGCATTCAAATCTCGATACCGATTTTTTGGTCGAAATCCATGTCCAAATCTTACCCCAAGATTCGTATATAGACATGGGTCAAAATTTACCACCCCCATATCACGGCCAAATCTCATCCGATTTTCACGAAGTTTGGCTTTTTCTTCATGGTTTTCCCTCTGAATTAATGTGGCATTCAAATCTCGACACCGATTTTTTGGTCGAAATGCATGTCCAAATCTTACCCCAAGATTCGTATATAGACATGGGTCAAAATTTATCACCCCCATAATTTGGTCAAATCTCATCCGATTTTCACGAAGTTTGGCTTTTTCTTCATGGTTTTCCCTCTAGATTAATCTGGCATTCAAATCTCGACACCGATTTTTTGGTCGAAATGCATGTCCAAATCTTACCCCAAGATTCGTATATAGACATGGGTCAAAATTTACCACCCCCATAACTCGGTCAAATCTCATCCGATTTTCACGAAGTTTGGCTTTTTCTTCATGGGTTTCCCTCTAGATTAATCAGGCATTCAAATCTCGACACCGATTTTTTAGTCGAAATGCATGTTCAAATCTTACCCCAAGATTCGTATATAGACATGGGGCAAAATTTACCACCCCCATAACTCGGTCAAATGTCATCCGATTTTTACGAAGTTTGGCTTTTTCTTCATGGTTTTCCCTCTAGATTAATCTGGCATTCAAATCTGAACACCGATTTTTTAGTCGAAATGCATGTCCAAATCTTACCCCAAGATTCGTATATAGACATGGAGGAAAATTTACCACCCCCATAACTCGGTCAAATCTCATCCGATTTTCACGAAGTTTGGCTTTTTCTTAATGGTTTTCCCTCTAGATTAATCTGGCATTCAAATCTCGACACCAATTTTTTAGTCGAAATGCATGTCCAAATCTTACCCCAAGATTCGTATATAGACATGGGGCAAAATTTACCACCCCCATAACTCGGCCAAATCTCATC